ATAAAAATAATACTCATAAAAATATTTTAGGGATATATTAATAATTTTTGAACAAAATTCTAAATATAAAATATATAATATATTTTTTAACTTTTAATAGTAGTAAATATTTTAATAGTAGTATATTTAGTGATTTTAATGATAATATTATATAAAAAAAATAAATGTGTAATAATATATAAAGTCATAAAATATAAAGATAAATAATTAATTATTTTAATCAATGAAAATAATTTATATTTACAGTTTTTTTTAATTTTACAAATGCAAATTAAATTAGTATATATTAATATCTAATGATTTTTAATGATTATAATTTTTTATAGTTTTAATTATATTATTATTACTATTACTAATGATGAAAAAACAAAAATAAAAAAATATTTAACAACTTAAACTTAAATTTATATATTATTATATTAATATAGTGTATAGTACAATTAATTTGCTTATATTTAAAAAATAAATAATAATTTTATGTTTATTTTATTTTCTAAAATAATAAAAACATCTATTAAAACTTATCAAGTTAAACTAATAAAAAACAATATTATACTTTTTAAAGAAAAAATTATTAATTAATTCTACATCTACTGTAAACTTATAGTATAAAACATATTAAATATAATTACAAATATAATGCATTGATTTTATTTAAATAGACTGTAAGTCTATTATTTTTTAAACAATTTATAATACATATTCATTTATATAATTAAAAATAGATATAAAAAATTATTTGTAGATTTACTGATAATTTATTTACTTTAATTTTATAAATAGAAAAAATATAATAATAACTTTGAATATTGATATTTAGATAAAAAAAAATATTTAATAATTAGTTTATGTACTACTTATGATATAATAATTTATTAATAAAACATATTATAGTTATTTTTTTAATTAGACAGATTTGTAAAATTAATTAAAAAAATTTAATTTTATTCACATTTACTAAATAAAAATAATATTAAAATATTAAATATAATAATTGATCAATAAATAAATTAATAATTGTTTAATACTGTATATAAATAAACTGTAAATAAAAATCTATAAATAAATTTTATTTTATTAACAATTTTATAATACTATATTTAGAGTTTTTATTATAGCAATAAAAAAAATTATAACAAATAATTATTTATTTTTTATTTAAAAATATTATACAGTATATAACATGTATATAATACTTACTCATTTATATTATTAAAACTAGATTCTACCATGGTTAATTTTATAATAACAAATAATATACAGTATTTACTGTTATAAAAATTAATTCAATTTTCAAATTAAGTAATAAATTATTAAAAACAATAGATTTATAACATTTTGTTAACTTTTTTTAAAAACTCAAAATAAAAATTACCATTTTTTTTTATAAATAAAAGTTAAATAGTTTATGTTATCTTAAAATATTTAATATAATGAAATTAAAAATTAAAATAATTAAATAATATTATTTTTGCTGATTATCAATAACTTACTATTAGTACTATTAACAAATATATTTAATTTTATTTACATTTACTTAATTACTTAAGAATAATACTTTTAAAGATAATTAATTTTATTATTTTTTGTATTTTTTAATATAATATTTATTATAAAATAAAAGTTTAAGTTATTTAAAAATATTTAATTTAATAATTTAGCAATAAATTAATAAATTATTGTTTAATAATATTATATAAATAAACTGTAAATAAAAATCTATGTATGAATTTTAATTTATTAACAATTTTATAATATTATGTTTAGAGTTTCTATTATCACAATAAATAATTTATAACAAATAATTATTAATTTTAAAATATATATATATATATATATACAGAATATAACATGTATATAATACATATTTAATTATATTATTAAAAATAGATTTTAGAAAATACCATGTTTAATTTTACAATAATAAATAATATACAGTATTTACTGTTATATAATTAATTCAAAAATAAATTATTAAAAACAAAATATAACTGTTAATAATATTTTGTCAACTTTTATAAAAACTCAAAATAAAAACTTGTATTTTTTTTATAAATAAAAGTTAAAAAGTTTATGTTATCTTAAAATATTTAATATAATAATTTTTTTCAATAAATTAATAATAATAATCAAAAATAAACTACATATAAATAAACTGTAAACAAAAATCTATATATAAATTTTAATTCATCAATAATTTTATAATAATTTTTTTAGTCTCGTTGTGGTCATCAAAAATAATAATTTTTAAGAAATAATTATTAATTTTTTTTAAAAAAAATAATACAGTATAAAAAATGTAAAAATTTAGTAGTTTTAGTAAATATTTATTTATATATATACATATATTTAATATTATAATTTATCAATAACTAAATAATAATTTTTTTTTATTAAATATATAGATATATATATATATATAGTCTATAAATAATCTAATTATATAACTGTAAATATAAATATAAATTATATTTATATTTTATCAATGAGTCAATAATAATTTTATTAGCAAATTGGCAAAAAACCTAATTAGTTTTTAGTATTTTTTTAATCTAACTATTTTTTTTCAATTATAAATTATTAAAAACAATATACAATTATTAAAAAGTAAAACTATATTATTATTATTATTATTTAAAAAGTATATTTTAAGTTATTTATTTAATTTATAATCTAATCCAAACATATATAATCAATTGTTGTTTTTAAAAATAACAGACCATTTTATTAAAATAAAAATGTTTATATAATTTTACACAATATATTACAAAACGCTATATATTAGACAAATAATAATACTAATTGTTATTTGTCAACTTTTGTTTTTTTTTTAAAAAAAACATATGTAACAATTTAATTTTATATTTACTAATGATATTTAATTAAATTTTATATTATAAGTTTAAAAAATACTTAATTTTGACATTTTTAGTTTTATTTTAAATAACATCTATTAAATCTTATCAAGTTTAAAACTAATAAAAAAAACACTATTATTTTTTTTATAAATTATTTATTAATTGTTTTTTTCTCAATCTAAATTTATAAATTTTATATAAAAATTAATTAATCTCCTGGGCGTTCAAGTCCTAAATAAATTAAAACAAATGTAATTGTTAAAATAAATATTTAATTTTCATAATAAGTTACAGTTATTTATATATTAAAATATATTTATAAAAAAAAATAAAAATATATATATAAATCAATTAATTTTTTAATAAACTGTAAGTCTATTAAAATATAATGAATACATAATACATATTCATTTATATAATTAAAATTATAGATTCAATGCAACTAATTTTATAATAATAAATAATAAATTTACTTTTTTATTTTTATCTAAAATAAAATAATAAACATAAATATTGTTATTTAAATACAAATATCAAAAAAATATACTTTTATATACTACTTAAAATATATTGTTAGAGTATATGATTTTTTTTAATAAAAAATACATAGAAGATTTAATTGTAATATAAATGTTTAAAAATTATTACTATTAGTATATAAGAAATATAATTTATTTATTTTTTTAAAAAAAACTGTAAATCTAATTTAATTTTAAAAAATAATTAAAATATTAATTTATAAATGTTTGAAAATAGTTATATTGGCTCGGTTGATATTTTAATTTTTAACTATTAGTTTCAAAAACCTAAAAAAAATAATTAATTATAATTTATTACGTGTATAATAATTTCAATTTGAGTTAAATAAATTAATTCATTTTAGTATTTTTTTGAAATATTATTTATTAATAAGTTTATTAAAAACATAATTTAATAGTAATAATAATAATATTAACAATGTTTGACTTCATGCATAACAATTAAAAATTAATATATTATTTATTTTATACAATTTGTAACAATTTTTGTTTCATATGTTAACTAAAAATTATAATTTTTAATTACTTAAATTATTTTTTTTGTAAATTAAACATTAGCTAAAACAAACTTGGTAAATTATATATATATATATATAGTTGAATTTGTGTTACATTTAATTTTTTAATATATATATATATATATTACATATTATTTTTAAATAATTTATAACAAACAGTAGCTTTACATTAGTAATTCATTCAATAATTTTTTTTACTATACATTTACACATTATATTTGTTATACACTCTTATATAACTAGATATTACTATAAATAAAATTTTTTTAATTTTAAATTAATATATAATGTTATAATAATAATAATTGTTATAAATAAAAATAAAATCTTACAAAAAATTATACAATTTTTTTTATAGATATCACAATAAACATAAACTTAATATTAATTAAAATAATTGTATAATATTTATATTAATAATAATAAAATTAAAATTAACAAAATTATGACATTATAATTGTTTTGTATTTTCAAAAATTGTTATTTAAAAATTTGTTATATATTTGTTATCATTAAACTTCTGACATAGTTTTTATATATAAACTAAAAATATTAATTAATTATTATTAATTAGTAAAATGTTGTAAATTATTATTATTATTAAATTAATTTGTGGTTGAGCATTCAATTATTTAATTAAAAACTAATAATAATAATAATTGAAAAAATTTGTAAATTTTTTTTTAAATCTATTTTTCACAATCAAAAAAAAAACATTTACTAATAACTAATTAATTAAATATTTGTTTGTTTTTTTCACAAATATTACTTCAATTTGTAAAATATTTGGCATTAAATTTATTAATTTGTAATTTTTTAATTTTACTAATATATGTAATAATAATAATAATAATATTTGTAATTAATTTTTGTTTGTTTCAATCAATTATTAATAATTAAATTAATTAAATTTATTTATTTATTGTACGGTTTGGCCAATAGTTGCGGTTTGAATGGCGGAACCGGTTTGATCCGTGATATTGATGATGTCGTTGCCAGTGCTGACTGTCCTCCACCACCACCACCACTACCTCCTTGGCTATGGACAGTACTATTACTACTACTACTACTACCATAACTAGTGGTCATTGACGACGACGCCGACGACAATGGTTTCGGTAATGTCGACGGTTTTGGCGATGGCGTCGGTTTTATTATACCCGTATGCTTAGGTACGGCCGGCGGCTGGGGCTGCGGTAGTCTACCGGTGCTACCGCTGCTGCCGATGGTGGACACGGGTTTGGGCTTCGGCTGCTGCGTAGGTATCGTAGGTATTGCCACCGGTATTGAGCCGCCAATTGTTGGTGCAATTGATGCTGACGTTGTAGTGCCCAACCTTTGCGGTGCCGGCGACTGCTTCGGGGGTACGACTGATGCCGAACCTGTTGTTGTAGGTGTTGTTGGTGTCGACGCTTTAGTTGTTGTTGTTGTTGTGGTGGTGGGCACTGGTATGTTGTTGTGGCCAGTAGTGGTGCAGCCGGCAGTTTCCTCATGGCGTCCAATATTATGCGTACTTTGAGCTAAAAATAATTATTTTAATAAATAATTTTAATAACTATTTTAATAAATATTTTAATAAATATTTTATAATAAATTATATATATATTTAGTTAAGTTTAATACAAAATACAAAAAAGCTATTATTATTATTTTTTAATTATTTTTAATTAATTAGTTATTAATTTTTTTTATGGGATAATAAATACCATTATTTTTAGCATATTTGCCGTTATTATAGACAACAAAAACTGGTTTATCGGAGTTAGGCTTAGGTTTCGGTGAGTTAGGTGTCGACGGTTTACGCGATTTATTATTATTATTATTACTAATATTATTACTATTATTAATATTAATTGTTGTTATAAAACTACTACTATTTTTATTATTATTATTATTTAGTTGTTTTAATTTATTATTATTATTAGTTAATTCAGATTTATTATATGTATTATTATTATTATTATTACTAATTATTTTGCTATCATTGTTAGGCTTAGGTATACTTGTTGTTGTTGTGGTTATCAGTTTGTTAGCACCGGTATTAAAATTATTATCTATTAATTTATTATTAGTATTATTAGTAGTATTATTACAGCTATTATCAGTTGAAATGTCAATGTTTTGTGGATTTGAAAATTGTATGCCATGTTTACTACTAGTATTATTATTATGCAATTTTGTTGATGTTAATTTAGTAGCTACAGGTGCTGCTGCTACTGTAGCTACCGGTGCATTACTATTACTAGTACTATCGGCCCTACTATCCAATACCATTTGATAGGCAATTTCAAATGCCTGTCCCAATGTTAGTATGACATCGGTTACCAAATCCTTAAAATATAAGGTTATATAAAAAAACAATTGTTTTTTTAGAAATTTTTTTTTTATAATTTTTTATTATTAAATACCGTATTATTTGATGAAAATACATGACAATAATGATTGTTTGTTTCCAACTCTTTGGTTATATAAGCAAAATGATTGAGATCTTCGCTGTCCTGACATATACACTGTATATTACGTATAGAGTGCTCGCATACCATCACCTGTTGATTGGGGAGGAACGGGAGGAAAGGGATGTTAACACCCATACAAACAAATATATACAACGATATAAGATATAATACATACTTGTGTGACGGCATCGATAAACTGGACGCCCTTATAGCTTATGGATAGTATTATTTGCGGTATTTTCCCGATGGTTTTGGTCGACTGTCGGAGCTTCTGTATGGACGCACGGGTCGAGTCGATACCACGGAGTTCACGGACTAATGTTGAACCCAAATAACTGGCCGTATATTTACACGAACTATCAATTAGCTCACGATTGGTATGTTTCCACTGTTGACTACCTGTCCTACTACTGTCCGATTGTTGTTTATTTGATTCAGTAGTAGTAGTAGTAGTAGTTTTAGGTGTTTCCGACTGCTGCTGCCCTGTCCTACTAGTCGACTGTCCTCCTACTATGGATGCATTAGTGGACAGGGATGTAGCCGTCATTGTCGATGAACAGGTATCCAAACCTTCATCCACTGATAGTTGACTTATATTGAGATTCTGTATATAAACACACAAAAAAATCATACAATTAGTACAGAATATTCTGTACTATACTATCAAACAAACAAATTAATTACCAATTTATCAAAATCTAGATCATCGAGACCCAGATCCTCAATCAACCGTAACCTTTCACCCAGGGAGGCCAGTATACGTTTCCGATGACCCAATCGATTGATTTCCAATACAGTATTCAACTCGACTTCCCATAGATTACGGACTCTAGACATCTCTGTATAACCATTTTCGGCAAACGACTGGCCGTACGAGTCGTATAGTTTCAATGACAGTAACCATTGGTCGACTGATACTTGTTGGACATCATCGGCAGTCAACTGTCGGACAATAGGCAGCCGTTGTTTGGCCTCCAATAGTATCCGATCTCTATGGGAGGCATTGGTTACACCGATTTCAAGTAGATCTGTGTCGTCCATAACGTTTGATCCCTTTTATTATTATTATTATTATTAAAATAAAATAAAAATTAATTAATTAATTAATACTAATTATTATTAGTTATAAATTAAAACATGTTATAATTTTTTTGTTGTAAATTTAAAAAAAATAATAATTGAAATATAAATTTAATAATTATTTTTAAAAAAATAATATATATATATATATTGTTTAAATTTCTATAATTAATTTAACTGTAAATTATATTAATATAAAATTTCATATTAAATTTATAATTACAGTTAGAATTTTGATAATAATTAAAAAAAACATTTTATTAATAAAAAAAACTAATTATTTAAATTTTGATAATAATAATATATTTATTTATTTATTTAAAATAATAATAATTAAAAATTAAATATATATTAATTACCATATATAGTACGTTATCAAATCCGTTAACAATTAGCAAATTGCTATACTCTGACAGTCCTATCCTTGATAGCCATTCCTCGACCGACTGTTCCTCAAAATCGGTAGACGACGACTCTGTATATATAAATAAATAAAATGAGTTTTTTAAAAAAAAAAATATTAGGTATTTAAAAGTTTAATAAATAAATAAATTAATTAATGTATTACTCAGTTATTTTATTTTTTTTTGTTTTTTAAATATATAAATATTTAAATTTTTTTATAAAAAAAACAGGTATCATATGCTAAATATTATATAATTGTTTAATTAGTTTAAAATAATATTTATTTATTGATTAAAGTATTATATTTTATAAAATTACATTAATATTTAAATTTTCTCTGTTATTATAAATAAATACTTTATCTATAATCATATAATGTTAATTAATATTGAAAATTAAAACTAAAATTAATACTATAAATAAATAAACAATCATTTAATTTAATAAAAAAAACAAACAAACAAAATATTTAACTAAATAACAATACAAAAACTAATTAAAACAAAATTATTATTAAAAAATATAATTTTTTTTAATTTATTTTTTTTTAAATATATATAATATAACAAACCTTTTGATAGACAACTGGAAAACGATTTATCCATATCTTCGCTGAAATTATGTGTTAGTCCGCCGACGACACCACCACTACTACTACCGGTAGTAGTAGTAGTAGTAGTAGTAGTAGTAGTGTTGTTATCCCGACCGATGGTCGACCCAAACGAGTCCATAATCCTAGCAATCTCTGCCCACTCGTGATTCTCATCAAACAACGGACTACCGGACAATCGGCTACTGATCCTCGAGTTGTTGTCATCAGTACTACTAGTGGTCGTCCGTATGGATGGCGCGGACAACAGGTCGTCAAACGACTGGTGATTACCACCAGTAGTAGTAGTAGTAGTAGTGGTAGATTTGGCCGCTATTTTCATGGCATTACTACTACGACTACCGCCGCTATGGTAATGATGGTCACCATTGCCAGCACCGGCTATACTACCGGTGCCGCCGCCGGTGCCGCTATTGTCCATACTTTTGGCTTTTTGTTTATGTTTGGTTCGTTTGAGTGTTGAATATATGTTATTAGTATTATCACAACAATTGAAATTTCTTTGCCGGCGAAGAAGCGATTTTTTTTGCTGATTGCCGTCAATAGACGTACCGTCCCGTCGGCGTACTGTCGATGTCTGGCCGCCACAACCGGTGCTATTGGTCACTGATCCCCGACATAAACCTATAATAATAATATAATAAATAATAATAATTTTTAATTTTAGAAAAAAAATGTAATTAAAATTAAATAAAAATATATTTAAAATTAAATAAAATGAAAATAAATTAAGTTTATTATTTTAGTAATTTTTTCTAAAAAAATAAAACTGTAAATTAAACCCATTTCTTAATATTTATACTAAAATTAATTTTTTATAATTTAAATATTAGTGCGAGACAATTACAAATATTTTTAAACATAAATATAAACTAATTATTATATATATATAATTATTTAATTATTAATTAAATAAGTTATTATTTGGATTTTGTTTTTTTAATGTTAGTTAAATTTTTAAGTTTATTTATTATTAAGTTAAAAATGGTTTTTAAAAAAAAATAAAAATTAATAATTTTATAAATACTTTTTTTCCTCCCCATAATTATTAATTTAAATTGAATAGACATCTATAAATTTAATATTATTATTATTTTTCTAGTTTAGTTTATTTATATTAATAGCTATAATTATTTATTTATATATTTTATAATTATATAAATTAATTATTAAAATTTCAAAAAATATATAATTAATTAAATAAATAGAATATAATTAATTAAATAAATAAAATATAATTAATTAATTAGTAAAATATAATTAATTAATTAGTAAAATATAATTAATTAATTAATAAAATATAATTAATTAGTTAATTAAATATAATTAATTATAATTAATAAAATATAATTAATTAAATTAATTAATAATTACCGGCAAATGGGTTCTCTTTTTCGCCACTTCTGTCTAATTTCAATGTTTCACAATAGTTATGATAAACACTTGTTTTATTATTATTAATATTATTATTATTACTATTAGTTTTTCGCTTAATATGATTATCACTCGACACAACACTACGCCTATTATTATTATTATTACTATTGTTGGCACCGATAGTCAAACCACTATTGAATTTCAAATCATATATACAACCATTGATATCAGTACTGACGGCCACTGATCTCTTATTATTGTTGTTGTTATCACTACTACTGCTATTGAAACTACCGTTCCTTAAGCTTAGCCTAACGTAACCGCTTGAATCCAATGATGCAAACAGTTGTTCCTCAGTTAAGGTTTCAATATCCCGGTGCTGTAGGTTATTGTGGTTATGATAATGATTGTTGCCGTTAACACGTTTATACTCCTAATTAATTAATATAATTAATTAATTAATAGTTATTATTAATACTAAAAAAACACATGTATTGATAATATTATTAATTAAATAGTTTTATATATTTATATATATATATATAAATAAAATATTAATATATCAATAGTTTTTTGCTTATCATATATGATATGATATAAACTGTTAATATTATGTATGGGAAAAATTTTTTTAGTTAATTTTATTTATAGATATATTTATAGAAATTTTATGTTTAATTTAATGTTGATTTTTTGAAAGTAACTTAATATATCGTATTTATCACTAAAAAAAAACATTTATAAAATATTTAATTTTTTTATAAAAAAAATTCATTACTATTGCACACATATAAAAAACATTGAAAATTTTTCAATAAATTATAATAATAATAATAATAATAATAATAATAATAATAAATAACAAAATATTTGAACGATTATGTCATTTAATAGAAATTTTTATTTTATATGTTTATTATTATTATTACTAAAAAATTATTATTCATAACAACATATTTAATATAAAACATATGCATTACTACTACTACTACTCTATACATAGAAATATTTAACCAAAAAAATATGTATTTAATTAATATAATAGTATTTTATTGTAATTAACTATAAAATTCATATGAAAATCGTTGCAACAAATAATACTAATATAAATAAAAAAAAATATTTACAGGAAATCACTAGTCATACAAAAAAATTTCGATATACCGTTCCCTTAGTATTATATAAATAATAATAAATAAAAAAAAATACTATTTCCCACATTGAACTGTTAGATTATTTTTTTTAGGTATGGGTTGGGTAGATAATATTATTTGAAATAATAATAATAATAAAAAAAAATTTTGACGCTAAATATTATCACTAAATATATATATATATATATATATATATTATATAATAATTAATTATAAATATAATAATACAGACACAATATTTATATAAAATTTTTTAATAATAATAATAATAATAACTAAAGTATACTGTATTTCTAGTCAATGATATTTTGTTTATTTATTTATTTATACAAAATACATTGACACCATTTTTAATTGATAATAATAATAATAATAATAGAGACTACTATATGAAAAAATAAATGTATAAATAAAATAAAACTAATTTTTTTTATAAATATTTTTTTCTGTTAAGTTAAAGTGTCTATTAATTTATCTATAAGTTTATTATACTAACTATTTATTTGGTGAAATTGTTTGCAAATAATATATATATATATATATATATATATATATATATATATTTGATTATATAATCATAAACACTAAATGATAATTATTGATAAACAATATTTTTTTATTTAAAACAATAAACCATATATATATAATATATAATAACATATTTTAATTATTATGTAATAATAATTTTATGTTATAACTAATAAAATTGTGAATTAAGTTTAGTTAAAAAAATTATTTTAATATAATAACTTATTTATATTTTTTAAATAACTGTAATAAAATATTTACTAAATATTTATTGATTTAAATTATATTTTTAAATTTACTATATAGTGCCCATTTAACTTAGAATTAATTTTATAAATAATTTTAAAATTAAATTTTAAATTATTTAATTTAATAATTATAATTAAAAAAAAAATCATAACAACTATAATATTCAATTAATTCATTCATTTATAATTAAAAAAAAAACTCTATAACATAATGTAATTAATAAAAAAATAAAATAACACAAAATTAATTATAAAATAAATAATTATAAATATAAAAAAAATAAATAAATAATAATAATAAACAAAACAAAAATTAAATTAAATTAAATTAAATTAAAAAAAACTTACCAATAAATTATTTGAATCATTCAAAAATAATTTGGCAAACAAATCAGGCAAAAAATTATTATTATTATTATTATTAATTTTAGCATCATCATCATCATCATCAATATCAATGCAATTATTATTATTATTATTATTATTATTATTATTATTAATGGCATAGATATTAAAATACGGATCATTCAATAAAATACTACTACTAGTAGTAGGACTACTGTGTTCAGCATCATCATCATCAGCATCGTTAGCATTGTCGGCACCGCCGGCACTTAAATAGTCGACAATCGACACGTCCGATGATGACGACGATGAGGAGGAACGGGAGGCACTACTGGCGGTCGTCGACGGGGAACAGGAGGTGGTGCCCGTCGATGAGTAGCAGCACTTGTAATGGTATAGATTGGATGACTGTACGGTACGGTACGGTACGGTATGGTTGGGTATGGTATATATAATGTACGGCCAAAAAAACATTAAATAAAAAAAATGCAAAAATAAATAAAAAATAATAAACAAAAAGCAAAATTATAACAGAAAAATTGGTAAATAAAATGCTTAAATTATATTTTTAATTAAATACCTTTTTATATTTCATGCATTGGTTAATGAAAAAAATGTTTTTTTTTTGAAAATAATAAATATTTCATGCATTTTATTGTTATAAAATTTATTAATAATTAATTTATTTTATTTTTAAAATATAAGTAATTTCCGTTAATACCCTAATAATATATGATTTTATTAATTTAATTATAGTTGAATGATTATATTATTTTAATTGTACAGTTAGTAGTATAATAGTTTAAAATTTATAATTTACAAAATATTATTAAATTATAAAATAAATAAATAAATATCGATATAAAATATAAATTATTATTTTTAAAAAATAGTATTTTTTTCAAAAATTAATAAAGAAATAGTATTTTTCAAAAAAAAATAAATATTAATGATATGTTAAAGTAATAATAATAAAAATACAGATTATTAATTTTACTTAAATTACTTAAAATAATATATAAATTTTTATATATATTTAATTAAAAAAAATAATAATTTACAGTTAGTTGAAAAAATCGATTATTATTATTATTATTATTTATATTAGTTATAGTAATAGTTAAATAAGTTAAAAATATTTAAATCAATCAATCAATTAGTTTATAATAGTATTATTATTATTAATAATTAAATTTAAGATAATTAGGCAAATAATAGACAACTACTCTTACCTGACACAGGGGCTGAATGACTGCATGTATGCCATTCAGGGCAGTGGTAGGACTGGGCGGCTCGTAGTCGGGTGTCGACTGTCCACCAATACTACAACTACCGGTGCCGCCGCCGCCGCCGCTGCCATTCAAACAACGGGAACGCCTATTATTATTATCCAGCAATAGTTGGCTACTATCCGGTGCCGTACAATGAACCGGTATCTGAACGGTTGATCGTTTAGGTTTGGCATATATATCGCCATTGTCGCACATGTAGTGCATGGCCACCACCGGTGCTTTTAGTGTACTATCATCACCGTCGTCGGCAGCACCGTTAGCTTCATCATCATCGTCAGCACCGGTAGTAGCGGTAGTAATGGTTTCGTAAATATATTTATTAGACGACGACGTGGACTGTAGTTCAGACTTTGATCGCAAATAGGGTGTAATACCCGACGGTTTTATACGACGGATGTTATTGTTGTTATGTTGTTGACCACCGATACTACCCGTGTCGACCGAACCTACAGTATAGCCATCGCTTGATGGCCGGGGACTACCAGTGCTGCCGCCGCCGGTAGTAGTAGTGGTCAGTATCGGTGAAGCGGAACCGTTAGCTATTTGGTCGTATAGTTTGGAAAAATCTGATTCCTCTATCAGTCGGCGTTTAATTTCTAAATAAATTTAAAAAAATTATTATTAAAACATTAATAATAATAATAATAATAATTAGTTAATTATTTTTTTAAAAAAAAAGTTTTTATCTAATAATATATATGTATATAAATAATATTAAAATTTAAAAATATATTAATATTTTCAACAACAACAACAAAATTATCTAAATATAGCTTAAAACTTATTTGAAACCAAAAATTATATTATTGATGTAAATGTTAATTATAATAAATTGTATTTTAAAAAAAAAAAATTTAACTAATAATTATTTTAGTTTTAATAAATATGAGAGATTCTAAAAAATTTATTTTTTTTTTAAATATTTATACAAATAAAATCTATTAATTATTATATTTACAGTTATTCGAAAAAAAAATTTATAAATAAATAAATAGTTTACATAATAATAATTACAATTTTAACTATTAAATAATAATAATGCAATTTTTTAAAAAAAATAATTAATTAAAAGTAAAATTTGTAATTTTTTATAACACTTTAATTAGTAATATAATTAGTATATATATGATAAATAATTGTTACAATTATATACTTAAAAAAAATTAAAATTAATAACTAGTAGGACTGCACTAATTTAATAATTTTTTAATTTTATAAAACATCAATCAATAGTAAAACTAGTTATAATTACAGTTTAATTAAATTTTATTTTATTTAAAAACAAAAAACAAAAAACAAAACAATAACTAATGTTTTTAATTTAATACAATATCTAACTATTGTTTTTTTTATAAATTAAAACAATAATATTTTTTAAAAAAAACTATTACTAATAAATCATTTATTAATATATATATATATATATATATATATTTGGCTAAACTTATTAAAACAATATCTATCAAAATAAATTGCATTATTTTATTTTTTAATAATAGTAATTACTGGGGGTATATATATATATTTTATATATTAATTAATTAGCAATTACTTTAACATTTAGGTTTGTAAATAGTTTAGGCAGCACAGGTAGGTTCATGATATATGGGAGCCCACCATTAAAATAAAAAACAATAGTTTTTTTAAAGTGTTTAGTGTAGAAAAATATGTGACTAATTTGTTGGGCAGTGTTTTTTTGGTGGTGGACCCAAAAATAGAGAGAGAGAGAGAGAGAGAGAGAGAGAGAGAGAGAGATTATAGTAAAATACTTTCAAAATAAAAATCTCATCAATTTTTCCAACAATATATATATATATATATATATATTATTAAAGTTAATGACTATAATTTAGAGGTCCAGTCCCCTGTTTGTGTGTGTGTGTGGTCCCCATGGAGTCTATATGGGTGGCCCCACATTGAGATACATTGATTTATATACAGTATATACTGTATATATAATTTATACATACAGTACATCCCCAGCCCTTTAACCTATTGCTTGCTGCTGTGGGTCGTGTGTGTTGTGTTGGGTTATTATATCGGGATTACTATATATTGAGGGGAAAGGGAGGTCATGTATGTGTGTTATAGAGCACTAGTAATATCCCTTATATATATATATATATTGCTATATATGACCCATAATTAATTTGTACCCAGGGTCCTTGAAATTCAATATACTGTATACAATGTATGGATGATAACAAACAAGTCAAACATATCCACTGTTAGTAAAGCTAATAATAATAATAATAGCAAATATAATATTAATAAAAGTATTAGTAACTCATAGATACTGTTCCCATACACATAACATTATTCCCATATATATATATATATATACTGTATATTGTATTAAATTATTTTAAATCAAATAAAATATTTATTTTATTTGACATTTTTTTGTGTTGTTTGTTTGTCTCTCTCTCTCTCTCTCTCTCTCTCTCTCTCTCTCTCTCTCTCTCTCTCTCTCTCTCTCTCTCTCTCTCAATATATTAGGTATAGTTTGCAAATTATTTATATTGAAATATATTTGAAATGTTAAATCTAATATATTATACATATATAAAATAAATATATAAATTATTGTGTGCGCCAATGTCAAATTTGATTGTAATTTATATATATGTCAACTATTTGATTTTAATCTGTATATATATATATATATTATTTTATATATTTTACATTACTATCTATTTTGATTGGCTATAAATATCTACAGTATATTTAAATAGCAAACAAACAAAAAAATGTCACAAAAAAGATATGTTTTGTTTAGATATTTATCTTTTATTTTTAAAAAAAAGTAAATATATTTTTCACTGTATTTTATTTCTCACATTTTATTATTATTGTTACTTATTATTTGTCAAAAGTATTAAAACAATTTTTAAATTTTAAATAAAATTATACACATAAACTAAATTTCAATATATATTTCCAGTAATAAAATAATTTAATCATTAATTTTTTTTATATGAATATTTGTTTGTTTTTTTATATAAAAATATAAACTATAATATATTAAACAACTAATACATACAGTATTATAATATGATATATAAAACTATAATATTTTAGTTATTTATCAAATATTAATCTAATATTTATAAACTAATTAATAATTTTGAGTATAAAAAATAATTTTTGTTTTTAACACTAATACTAAAAAAAATAATTATTAAAAAAACTTTTTTTTTTGAATGACTAATAATAAATTAATAAAAATTATTATTATTTAAAAAAAAATAAAATAAAATACTAACCATTAAACTTCTCACTATCATTGGTTGTATTAGTATTATTATCACAGAAATTATTATTATTATTATTATGACAATTACGACCCGTTAGTGTCCTATCGTGTTGTTGCTGACGACTACTATAACTACCGGTGCTATAGTCATAGGTATTGATTGTTAGACTCCTGTTTACCGGCGATATTGATTTGCGCGGCGGTTTCATAGGCGGTATAGGCTTTACAGATACTAAGCCATTGGCACCGGTAGTACTAGTGGTGGTTGTCCGGCCATAACTCGACCGATTGCTGCTACTGGCCATCGATGACTGTGAATCGGGTCGGCTCGGGTTGATGTCCAGGTGCTGTGTATCGTATGTATTATTGTTGCTATTTTGATGACTACTATGATGCCGGTGCCGCCTAACTAGTAGTTGTCCATAATCATCGGCTACTAACGGTGCTACTACAGGTGATCCAGCCGTATCGCAGCTGCTAGTATGACCTAGTTAATTTTTAGAAAATTTTAATTAATATAATTATTTAATAATTTTTTTTAAAAAAATTAAAATCTAATTATAAGTAATAAAATTATTAAATAAAAACTATATTTATTTAATCAAAAAAAAAATTATTATTATTATTTATAATAATTATTTAAATTGGTTTTTAAATTAAAATTAATTAATTAATAATTTATAGTTTAAAAAATTTTTTTTGGCTTTAATTTTTTCTCTTTAATAAAGATTAACAATTATTATTATTAATTAATTAAATATTTAAATATAATTACAGTCAGTTAAACATTTATATAAATATAATTATCAAAAATACAAATACATTTATTTTATAGAAATATTTATTTTTTTTTGAAAAATATTTTTAATTATAGTTATAATTAAAACTAATTAATAAATTAAAGTAATAAAAAATTACGGGACACTAAGCTTCTAATTAATTAAAACTTAAAATTATTATTAGTTTATTAAACTTAATATTAAAACATAATTACAGTCAGCTAAACATATTATATTATTATTATTTATAAACTATTATTATTTTAAAAATAAAATTTTTTAAAATATGTTTAACATAAGTAATTAATTATTAATCGTATCTATTCAATATTTTTAAGCAACATAAAATAAATTTATAATTAATTATTTTAATGTTTTAATTAAACTCTAAAAAAAATTTAGCTAGATAATAATTTAAATTTTATTTAGTTTATTATTATTATGATAAAATTTTTGCTAGTGTTTAATTTATTAATTTTTTATTAATCATAAAATGTAATTTAGAAAAATAAATTATAAATATTAATTTAATTCTGTCTATATTTAATAAAATTAAAAATTTTGTTATGGTCACGAAACTAATTTAGTTATATAACAATTGCTAATTAAATATTTTACTTATCAATAAATATTAGTTACAGTCAGCTAAAAATTATATATTTAAAATAACTATAATTATTAATAACAGCAAGAAAATTATTTAATATTTAGTAAAATTATTATAAGTAGTTTTTAATTAAATATTTTTTTAAAAAATCACCAATAGTTTAATTAAAAATAATTTTTGATTTATTAGTAAAACATATATTATTAATACAAAAATTATCTAAAATGTAAAAAAAATAATATTATTGTCATAATTTTATTACTAAAATTATATATATATATTATTAAACTTAAATATAATTATTTTAATATTAATTTAATAATAAATTTTATATATGTTATAATATAATTAATAATTTTTTTTAATGAGATAATTATTTAAAAAATTGTGATCTAACCTATTACTAATTTAATTTAATTAAAATTTCTAAAATAAAAATTTAAATTATTATTAATGTCTTAATTATAGTTAGCTAAACATTTTATAATAATAATAATAAAATTTTCTAAAAATATATTTATTATTTGTAAGTTTTTGTATAAAAATTAATATTTTTTTATAATTAAATTCATTATTTATTATGAATTGATTAATATTTTAATTAATAATACTTTTTCTTTTGATAAATAAAATTTGAATATATAAAATAAATTTTAGTGAATTAACATTAAATATAATAATTTTTTATTGTATTATTTTTATTATTATTATTATAGATAAATAAATATAAATAATTATAAATAAATAATTTTTTACTAAAAACTGTTTATTAATATTTTATATATTATTTAATTTATTTTTTAAAAACTTAATTTAGATGATCAGTTAGATTTGTAATTTAAAATTTAATAAATTTTGTTTAAACTTATGATATTTACTAAAATTATTTTTTAAAAAACTTATAATTATTTTGTTTACTAGTAATTAGTTGATAAATGTTTAAATTTTTAACTAAATATTAATATAGTTGTTAAAAATTATAACTTATGCATTTATTTACACAAAAAAAACTAATTAATCTTATAAAAAATTATCTCTTAACATTGTTAACTAAGTTAATTTTTATATAAAATTATATATAAGTTAAATAAAATATTTTGAATTTATTACAGTTATAATAATTTTTTAAATAAATTTACATTTAACTTGTATTAATAATAATAATTTTTTAGATTATTATTATTATTAATTAATTAATATAGATATATATATATAATATCTATTTGTTGGCAATTGTAATATTAATTTTTTATTATATATATTTTAATTATTAGTTAAATTTTTTTTTTATGTTTTACTTACTATTTCTATTATTGCCAGTCGAGTAGTCATCAATCCTACCCAAACTACTACTAGCGATGCCATTGCCACTATCCATATGTCCATCAGCATCGCCATAACCATCATCATCATCATTGTGTAAAAAATGCCGGGGTGGCAACGGGGGTGGTATCTCATAGTCCAGATAGGAGGGTGACCTACTCGACGCTGTTGTTGAATAGCCATCTAGTATTGAATCCCTGGATCGGGACAGTCGTGGTTTTGATAAACTATATATACATAATATTTATTAACTATTTTTTTTATATAATTAATAAATAAAAATTATTAAAGAAAATTGAATTAATTAATTGTTTATATAATTTACATATATTTTTTTAGATGAATTAAAATAATGATTAGTTTTTTATTATTATAAACTTTAAAATTAATTAATAGTATTATTGGTGTTTCTGTAATATACTATACAAATAAAAAAATAAAAAAAAAACTAATTATAAATAACTGTAAATTAATTAATATATTAAATTTATTAGTAATATATTATTATGCTATCGCACATATTAATTAGGAAATTACCAATGAAACTATAGATTAAACAAAAATTTAAAAATATAATTTTTTTTAAATATTTTAAACTATCTTTTATATACAAAATAATATATATATATATAATATTTTTATACTAAATAATATTTTTTTTAGTTAATTAATATTATTAGTTTTATATAAATATCATTTTTGTATTTTAGTATTTTTAATAAAATAAAAATCTATTATCTAATTAAATATTGTCTCATTAATAATCATCACATAATAAATAAATAACATATAATTTCAAACCAAACAATTAGTATACATATATATATATATATATATATATACAGTAATACTAACCGATTATTATTATCCTCACTACCGGTGCTCGATCGGACACTTTTCGGTCCATGTCTGGGTGCCGGTGGCGGTACCGGTTCATAGTAGCTAAACTCGGAGGCCGAGGTCATGGCCGGCGATGCCTTACCATCGATACCGCCACCGCCGACACCGCCGATATCATGATTATGTTGATAACCGTACGGTTGATGTTCGGGTGTATTATCTGTATATCCCGGCGGCGGTGATATACAATGCGATGATGAAGTGTAGCTCAATAGACCGCCGCCACCACCGCTGCCGCCACCGCCGTCCGTATCGGTGTTGTTAACCGATAGTAGACTGTGCTCTGTATGTATGAAAACATTTTATATATATAAATACAATTAATTAATTACTAATAATAATTTCTATTTTATTTATTTTTCATAAAAAATAAATTAAAACTAATTTTTTTTAGATATAAATAATAAATACATAATTTTAGTAAAATTATGTATTTATTAATAATATTTAAATTTAAAATAAATATTATACTAAATATGTTTTGATTTATTATTATTTATTTTATTTTTTATGTGTGTTAGTGTGTTATAAATCAATTATAAATAATATTAATCTAATAATACAAATATATTATTATTATTTTTTGATTAATTTAGTATTTATTTTACTATAAATTATGAATTAATTAGTTTATTGTAATGTTATTAAAATTAGAAAAAATAATAATAAATAAATATTTTTGCGATATCTCATCGGATGACTAATATATTGTTAATATTAATGATTATTTAAATCTAGTTATTACTTATATAGTATGTAATTACAGTTTACAAAAAAAAATAATTAATAATAATAACAAAAACAAATTAACTAATAATTATTATTAAACTTTAAAAAAAATTATATTAATTAATTAAATAATCAAATTTTAATTAATTATAAAAATATTATCGATATTTATTCCTCTAAATCTATTTATTATTTAATTTATTATTTATTATTTAATTACCTAGCTAAACTAATAATTACAGTTTGCAAATTTTTTTGCAAAGAAAACAAATTAATTTAAATTTTATATAAATAATATTTAAAGAAAATAAAAATAATTATTTTTTTCAATAAATAATTTTTTTTCTATAAATAATTTTTTTTCTATAAATAATTTTTTTTCTATAAATAATTTGTTGTATTAAATATAAATTAAAAAAACAATTACAAACCACGTATTAGTTTGACTGTTTGTTTGGCTATTGGTGTATTCAGATCGACCAGTATGTCGACAACTGTCCGATGATAACTGTCCTCTAAATCTGTATGTATACCAGCTTTCAGTAATAGTCGACAAACTTCTAGTTTGCCAAACAATGCCGCCTCGTGTAGGGCACTGCCCGTATCGGTCTAATTAAAAATAAAAATTAATAAAAAAAATAATTTATAATTAATAATAATAATTTTAATTTTAAAAATAAATAAATAATCCCTTTTTTTGTTATTATTACTGTTGTTAAACATGAAATAATATTATACTATAACTAACAAATAATAATAATAATAATAATTTATTAAACAATTATTATTAAAATTAATTAAATCAATAAATTATTTACTAGCTATACAATTAGCATAATCAATACGATAATTATTTAAATTAAAAAACTATTTTTTCTATACAGTTTATCAACAACAATTTTTTTAAATAATTAAATTTTAAATATAATAAGCTAATAAATTATAAAAAAATTATCAAAAAAAATAATAATATTGTATAAACTAATACCCACTTATTTATATTATTTTTTTTTTTGAAAAAGTTAAAATCAAAAACTACTTGTCAATTATTTTAAGTAATTTAAACAAAAAAAATTAATTCAATTTATAAAAATTATATAAATTTATCAATAAAAAAAGGCCCTACCTGAAAAGCCGCCTATGGCAGCCTATAGCCGCCTATGGCCGCCTATGTTAAAAATTTATGTACGGAAGCCCAATTAAGAAAAAGTTAAATTATAATAAATAATATCTTAAGGTAATGGCAGCCTATGCCGCCTATGGCCGCCTAGAACATGTATGGCCGCCTTATCATTTTATTTTAATATTTTATTTTATTTAAATGGCCGCCTATTATATCAATTATTAATAACAATTTATCAAAAATAAAACAATATTAATAACATAATACAGTATGAATGCTTTACTGTAATTTATAATATTAACTTAATTTAAATAATTACATTAATAATTTTAATAATAATATTTAACTAAATATTTGAAAATATTATTAAATAATTATAATTTTTATTTTTTTTAAACTACATAAATATCTAATTGAGTAAATTAACATTGTAATTATTTGCAACTTTTTAGTTACTAATAATATAGTTGTTTATTTATTTTATAAATTAAAATGATATATATATTTAAATATTAAATTGTTATATTAGTCTTGTTATTATATTTTAATTTTTTAAGTATAACAAGTTAGTTGAAAATATTAATGTAATTTATTTAAATAATTAATTATATGATTTTAATAATATAATATTTGACTAAATATTTACAAATATCATTAATCAATAATAATTTTTTTATTAAAATCTTACTGTTACTAAACTTAATTATTATTAAATTATAAACTTTAGCTACATATGGAAATACATGTACTAGGCGGCCATAGGCGGCCATACATGTTCTAGGCGGCCATAGGCGGCCATACATGTTCTAGGCGGCCATAGGCGGCCATACATGTTCTAGACGGCCATAGGCGGCCATACATGTTCTAGACGGCCATAGGCGGCCATACATGTTCTAGGCGGCCATAGGCGGCCATACATGTTCTAGGCGGCCATAGGCGGCCATACATGTTCTAGGCGGCCATAGGCGGCCATACATGTTCTAGACGGCCATAGGCGGCCATACATGTTCTAGACGGCCATAGGCGGCCATACATGTTCTAGGCGGCCATAGGCGGCCATACATGTTCTAGGCGGCCATAGGCGGCCATACATGTACTAGGCGGCCATAGGCGGCCATACATGTACTAGGCGGCCATAGGCGGCCATACATGTTCTAGGCGGCCATAGGCGGCCATACATGTTCTAGACGGCCATAGGCGGCCATACATGTTCTAGGCGGCCATAGGCGGCCATACATGTTCTAGGCGGCCATAGGCGGCCATACATCTTCTAGGCGGCCATACATGTTCTAGGCGGCCATAGGCGGCCATACATCTTCTAGGCGGCCATACATCTTCTAGGCGGCCATACATGTTCTAGGCGGCCATAGGCGGCCATACATCTTCTAGGCGGCCATACATCTTCTAGGCGGCCATACATGTTCTAGGCGGCCATAGGCGGCCATACATCTTCTAGGCGGCCATACATCTTCTAGGCGGCCATACATGTTCTAGGCGGCCATAGGCGGCAAAGGCTACCATAGACGGCATAGGCTGCAAAACATTCTATTTATATAAATATATACTTATTTTAATTTGGCTTCCGTACAAAAATTTTTAACATAGGCGGCCATAGGCTGCTATAGGCTGCCATAGGCGGCATTTCAGGTAGGGCCATAAAAAAATATAATAAATTCAATTCAATAAATAAATCAAAAAAAAAAATAATTATAAAAAATAAATCTATCTATTAATTATTTATTTATTTATTTTTAATAAAAAAAAACACGTACACAATAGTTGACATCAAATCTGGCATCAATGAGTAACTTAACGCACGTGCGATGACCATTACGTGCAGCCAAATGCAGGGGCGAGTGTCTACCGGTTAGATGTCGGGCCAGACTGGGTCGGGTACGTAACAGTAGTTCAACTGTATCCGTACGGCCGTACTGTGCGGCCAAATCCAGGGCCGACTCGTCCTTCAAGTTACGACACATAGCGTCGGCACCGCTCTGTAGTAATAGTGATACGACTGATGTGTGTCCGTATTGTGCGGCAAAATGTAGGGCAGTGTCCATATCGTTGTTCTGTATAATAATAATAATAATAATAATTAGATTATTATATAATTAATTAATTTAATGAAAAAAAATATTATTAATAATAATTATTTCATAAATTAATATTAAAATTTGTATTTTTTGTACTTAAATTAGTATTATTTTTAATAATAATAATTAGATTATTATTTAATTAATTAATTTTATTAAAAAATATTATTAATAATAATTATTTAATAAATTAATATTAAAATTAGTATTTTTTGTACTTAAATTAGTATTATTTTTAATAATAATAATTAGATTATTATTTAATTAATTAATTTAATGAAAAAAAATATTATTAATAATAATTTAACATAAATATTTAAAACATAAAATATTTTTATTTTTGGTACTTAAATTAGTATTATTTTTATTGTTATTGTTTTTAATATTAAATATAAATAGCAAATAATACTTTATTTAAAAAAAAATAATTTTGAGCTATATAACTATTTATTAATTATTAGTAATATTTGAAATACTATTATTGTAAAATTATTCAATAAATTACAGTTTTTTATAGAAATTTTTGTACATATAAATTATAATAATTTATTATTACTAAAACAGTAAAATACTATTTAAAAAAATATATTAGTTTATAAAAAAAGTAAAATCATAGAAAATTAGTTAAATTTATATTTAATTTTTAAAATCTTATTTTTAATTTACAAAAAAAATAATAAATAAATAAATCAATTAATAATTTATTGATTAACAAATTGGTGGAAAAAAAGTATTATTGTAATTGTAAAATAACATAAACATATCTAAATAAATATATATATTTTTTTAAAAATATGTTTATTTATTTTTAATTTTTTTTAGTTATTTTTTATTTTTTAAAAAAAATATTTACCTTTAGATTGATGTTTGGCACGTGAGCTGACTTAGTCAACAACATGTCCACAATTTCGTTATCGCCGGTCCAGGCGCTCAAATGTAGGGCCGATGAGCCGCGATTGTCCACCAGATTAGGATTGGCATCGAGTGTTAGCAGCAGTTCGACGATATCCCTGAGCACAACAAATATACAGTAGAAAAAATTTAATTAATTAATTAATAAAATTAAAAAAAATTATTTAATATATATATATATAACAATAATTAACTATATAATAGTGAAAAATATTTTTATAATAATAATTATTATGAAAAATTATTAACTTTAAAATTTTAATAGTTTTTTTTAAATAATAATAATTATTATAAACAATATAAGTTATGATTTAAAAAATTATTAATTAATTAACAACCAAAATAATTAATTAATATTTTTTTTAATACATTATAAATGTAAATAACATATATAATTTTTTTTAGTCTACTAATTAAATAAATTTTTTTTAAAATTTTTATTATTGATAATTTCACAAACTCATTATTAAATTTCATTACTTATAAAAGCTTATAATTTTTAAAAAATTATTAAAAAGCTAGACAAAATTCAAGAAAATGCATTAATTTTTAAAAAAATTATTAATAATTATAAAAATTTTATTAATTTAATTACCGGTAATCATTTTATATAATTATTATATTATAATATTTAATTATATTTCAAAAACTGTTAAATAATAATTAATAAAAATAAATAGTTAAAACTGTAAACGAAATAACTTGAATTATTTAAAAAATATTTTTAATTATTAATGATAATTTTTTACTTTGTTAGTACTTATTATTAAAAAATATTTATTAAAATTTTAATATTTTTAAAATAAAATAAAAACTGTATAAATACTTGTGTCCATTGAGTGCCGCGTGATGTAAACACGTGTAGCCGCACGAGTCCATTGTGTTTGGACCGGGACATCGACGCAAACTATTAATTAAAAAAATAAATTAATTAATTAATTAATTAATTAATTAATTATTTTTGTTGTGTGTAAAAATTTTTATTAATATAAACTTAGTTATTTAAAAAAAATAAATAAATTTTTTAATAAATATAAATAAAAATAATATATTAATGCTATTAATTTTTAAACAATTATATTTATATTGTATAATATTTTATTTATAAATAATATATTTAATTAATTTAATAATCAAAAAACTGTAATTAAAAAATATAGTGCTTTTAATTACTATAATATAATATAAAATAATTAATATTTTTAGTAATCTAAAAGTTGACATATATTATAAATTTTCAAATTTAATAAATCAGTTATAAAAATATAATAATTTATATTATTTTTAATTAAATCTTTTTAATGCTAAATAAAATTACTATTTTAGTAAAATTAAAGTTTTATACTTATAATTATAAATATATATATATTTATATAATAATATATAATAATAACAAACAATTTTGGCTGTCATTCAAATCGGAAGTAATTTGTATTTACCGTTAAAAAACATACAAACAGTAGTAATAGTAATGTATAGTATTTTATTTTAAAATACAGTATACAATACTAACACTGTTTTTAATTTAAAAAATTTAAATAACATTAACTAAAATTTTTAGAAAAAAAATTCAATTTCAATTTGATTATTGCAAACAAACAAAAATAAAAAACATAAAAATAAATTACTATTTTTTAGAAAAAAATAAAATTAGTTTTAAACTCTAACGTGTTTTTTGGGGTAATATTTATTTTTTGTTGGTTTGATTTTTTAATGATTAGTATATATATATATATATATATATATATATATAGTATTTTTTATGTAAAACTTAATAACTTTTTAGAGATTATCAGTTAATTCTCTCTCTCTCTCTCTCTCTCTCTCTCTCTCTCTATCTCTGTTTTTAAACTATATTATTGAAGAGCACATGTAGTTATAATAATGTCTATGCCTTTAATAACAACCATTAAAATAAAACAACACATCCCGACACCCGGTGTTGTAGTTGTCTATAACGGGTGTAATGACTGATGAGAGGTTTTAAGGGTTAATATGCTATTCATATCATATATATATAGTTATATAATCACTACTATTATTGTATTATATTATTAGTTAATATACTGTACATCAAAAATATATATATATTAGTGAACTAATAAATAATATATATATATATATATATATATATATATATATATATATTATACTATTAATAATACTAATCCAATATTTCTAAACCAACAAAATAAAAACGTATTAATAATAATAATAGTTATAGTAATAGGTTTGTTGAAATAATTTATTAAATTTTATTTATTTTTTTTGACTTAATGTGTTAAAAGAAAAACATAAAATATTCAAAATAATAAACTAAAATTAGATCATAACTATACTGTACTCTACTATTATTATTTTTGTTGGCATTTATATATATAATCACATTATATTACTACTACTACTACTACTACTAAATATTATATAATTTAAATCCTAATCTCTTTTTTTTTATTTTTATTATTTAGTCACTTGATATATATATATATATATATTTAAAACAATAAACCCTATTGAGTTTGTCAAATATAATGTGTATATACTGTATATTGAATAATATATATCTATGTTGTGTCTTATATTATATAATTTTATTACTTCCTGATTATTATTTTTTTTATTATTATTTTAAAATATATCTATATATATATAATTTTAGTTTCATATAAAATTATTATTACCTTGGCTATTTGTCAAAAAATATATATATCGATATAGTATAAATTAATATTAATTTTTAAAATATAAAAAAAACTATATATTATCTAAATTGTAATATTGTATTTTATAACAATAGTTTTATTGTAAATTTTATTATTATTATTAATTGATTGATTTTATTAGTTGATAAAACTTTTTAACACTAATCTAGTTTATTCAACAACAATAACAATAAATTTTGTTTTTAATTCAATAAACAATTTGTAAACTAATTGTACAAAAAATAAAATATTTTATTACTATCTAACACACACACACACACACACACACACACACACACACACACATAGATAGATAATTAACTAGCAATGACATTTTAATTAAAAAAATGTTTTTTTTTAAATAAAAATATTTTTCCCATATGATAAAATAATTTTTTTTTATAAACTAGATATAATTATATTAAGTTTAATGATAATAAATAAAATAAAATTTATACATTGATATAATCAAACTGTCCTAATGATGCACATGCACACACAGGTATGTCAACAATTTAATAAAAATAATAATAAATGATTTCACATACACACATATACACACACATACACACACATACATACACACACATACATACACACACACATACATACTCACATACATACACACACATACACACACATACATACATACACATACATACACATACATACACACACATACACACACATACACACACACAAATACACACACATACACACACATACACACACATAAACTTGATTTTTAAGTTCAATTATATGTTTGGTTAGAAATAAAATAAAAACAATTTATTATTTATATACATATATTTTTGTTTGTTTGTTTGATATAAAGTTTGTATGATAAATTGATACAACAAAATTTTTTTTAAAAAAAATTTCAAGTGTCATGGGATATTAATTTTATTTATTTTTAATAAATAATAAAACAAAACAAAATACTACTAAATATTTTCATTCACACACACACATATAATAGTCATAATGTTTGTAACTAATTATAATTATAATAATAATAGTAATAATAATAAATCCATTAAATATTATTGTCATAATAATTGTCAAAAAAAAATTTTGTGTGAAATTTTTATAATTTTTATAAACAAAACTAATGATAAATTATTTGTATTATTTATGTTACAATTATTTTTATATTAGTCTATAAAAAAATTTTTAAACATTAATAAAAAAAATTTAAAAAATCATATTATTTTTTTTAAAAAACGTGATAAATTATTAAATATTTTTTAATTTAATAATAATAATAATAATGTTATTAAATATATATGACATTGTGATTATTTAATTGATCTCAATTAGTTTAGTTTTTGTAAAATTAATGTCTAATTTAAAATTAAATAAATTTTTTATTAGGATATATATATATAATAAAAATATAAAACTGTACATTAAATTTAATAATTTAAATGTTCAAGGTAATAAATTGTTTATACTATTAGTATGAAAAAATAGTTTATTTTTTAATTATTATTTTTGATAAAAAATTTTGTTGTGTTGTATTAGTTAATATATATTTTATAGATTAAATTAATGTAATGTATAACATAATAGTTGTTTAATTATAACTAAATAGTTTTTATTAAAAAAATCTAAATGTTTTTTTCAAAAATATAAAAAATACAATTAACATTTTATTTTACTTAAAAAATTTTTTTTAATGATACTTATTTGTAACTTATATATTATTATTATTATTATTATTTAAATTATAACTAAGTATTATATATATAATCAATTTATAAAACAACAATTTAAATATCATTATTCAGATAATAAAATGTCATTAAATAAAAAATATTATATAATTATTTATTTATTTTTTAAAAAAACCTGTAAAATATTTCTAATTTATTATTTAAATTATAATTTAGTTTTTATTATTTTTGTAGATTAGATAATAAAATATCAGTAACTTTTTTAATCCTATTTTTTCATTAGTTATATATATTTTTTGTAGTTTACAATATTAATGTATAAATAAATAGAAAATTATTAACTAAATTAAAATATAATATATTAAATGTTAATATTTTTTTTAAAAAAAATATGTCAAATATGTCAAATAATTATACAAATTACAACTATATTAAGTATAGCTTTAATTACTAAAAATTAATTACAGTTTTCAATTAGGATATTAAATTT